GTATCATTGTCTGAGGACCCGAGCTATAATCTCCGACTCAAAGGCATTAGGTTGTGCCCTTCGTGTGAGTTCCTGCAATGCGCGAACATACTGAACTAGGCTTTCGGTCGGATGTTGAGTTCGGGACTCGAGTTCTCGCAAGATTTGTTACTCGTAACCAGGTGGCGGGAACTCTGCACGGAATTGCCGCTTGAACTCCGCTAGGCTGGTGAACGTAGGTTGCAGCCTTAACCAGCACGCAGCGCTAGACTGTAGAACGAGTGTGAGTATTCCGCTTATCACGAGGGATTCCGAGGCGCCTGACGCGGCTTTATAGACCTCGAACTCACCAAGAAATTTGGCGATTGACTTGGCGTCGTTGTAGCCAGTGTGCACCGGCACCGTTAGGTGGGTACGCAGCTCCGGCTCCCGTGACTGCTGCACGGTGAGACGCTGTGTGAAGGCATTGCACATGGCCGTCACTCTCAACAGCAATTTGGCTTGCGCATCCGCCAAGCCTGCTCCGGGATCCACGCTTGCTCCAGGCTTTTCGCCATCCTTCGTCTCGGACCGCAGTGTGGGAGACATGGCGGGAAAATACAGAAACGCCAAGTAGACAAGAAAAACGTGTGCGGCAACAGACGGTAGCTCCACTCGAGAAAAATAAACACGCTCCCAAAGCGATAAGCACGCCGCCGCGTGACTAAGTAATGCTTTGAGGCTGAAGTACAACGAGCAATCGCGCTGTAGCAAATAACAGCACTACTTCGAAAAGAAACACCGCAGTTGAAAAAAAAAATACTTATCGTGAAAAGAAACCCAGCCCCGTGTCGCTCCGATAGAAGGGCAGCTAAATTATGTTGGGCGCCATGTGGTGCGGTGCCTTGCTGGATGCCCATCCGTGAGGAACAACATGAAGCCGGAGTTTCCATAACAAGAAACTACCTTTATTAGAGTAACAGGAATCGGTTGTTAACTTACCATCCAGGACGGACGTAAAAAAAGAAGTTGAAGCGAGGGCAGACGATGATAATGTCTCCCTTATGCCATGGACGAAGAAGTCGGCAGAACCAGCGCTACGGATGAAGAGAAGGAAGAAGAAGCGTTGGATTTCTGGCAGCTAGTCGGGTGTTCCCAGGCCGCACTGATGATGTCTCCCGTATAGGAGACGAAACGTCTGATAAATGTTGGTTTTGTTATGCAAGTCGGAGGCATTTGTTTTTAATCATGAATCCCGGCTTTTGGAACATTTTTGCATTTATAACATGGCCGTAGCGTTTGATTCAAACTACACGCCTCTGTGACCTCGTTCCGTTTCCCCTGGTTCTGTGGGCGTGTCCTCCTTTATTAGCTCTTTTCTCATGCGCTGTTTTGTGTTTCGGGTTGTGTCCCCTTTGGGCGGTCGGTAGCGGCCCTTGGTTGGGGTGGCAGACCCTTGCTCCCACAAACTTTGTGTTTGACGAGTTTAGAGCCCCAGAGCGATGAGTGAAGATTGTGGAATCACGGCTGCCGGAGCGCCATCTATCGTCGGTTCGACAAGACCGGACCGTGTCGCGTTGAAGCGAGCAAACGAGCAGGCCAGCGGATAAGAAACCACGCGCGGGCTCACTGTGCGGGTCTCGGAAGCAGGCGGCGCGCCGTCAGAGAGCGCGGCTGTGCCATTCTGTCTAAAGCGCTGGATGAATTTTCTAAGCCAGTACCGCCAAGGTGGTGCGTGCTCTTATGCTTTTGAGCCAGAAATGGCGGAGCGTGGTCACCGATCTAGTTCATCGCGGTGGCGCGGCAGCGGCACATAAAGTACACCAATAGGAGCGTGCTTGCAAACGGTTGCGCTTCACCGGCAGACACAACAGACCAATAGGAGCGTACGCGTCTGGATGTGGGACCCACCATGACTCAAAAATGGTGACACGTCTCCGGGATTCAATAGGAGCGCCCGCGGCACGATCAAACGATGGTGGTACTTGGATAAGTCAGGATATCCAGCGCTTTATTTCGATCGGCGCTCCTGTATTATCAACTTCTGCTCCCGACAGTACTTCGTGGAGTACAGGATAATTGAGTGGAGTTGGCGCATATACATCTTTTTATAGTGAATAGTTACAGGTATTTTATTTTAATTTATCTATTAGCTTTCTTCTACACCTTATATTTCTCGGTATTCTCGAGAATATAACGTATATGAACGCGATAGCGGGAAGGAGCTCATGTCGCGGAAATTCCGGTGTTGGTGGCGTGACGAGAAAAGCCGGTTTCGGTGGCCTGCCAGGAAAATCCGGATTGGTCAATAAGGTTATGACGTCACAGCCACATTACCTCGATCTGAAAGTTCAAACAACCCACAACGTTTCCGTGAAACGTGATGTTACGCGGGGTATGAAAGTGATTAAAAAAAATGACATGTAAGGCGAATAAAGGTCGCCGCATGTTTCAAGTAATTTCTCTGAATAAAGTAAGTAATTTGCCTTAAAGAAAAATTTTAAGAATATTAGGCGGAGTTCGAGCCCACGACCAGACACGCTAGGAACTTGGCCAGGCAAGACACGCTCACACGGCTTCTGAACGAGCGGGCATCTATTTGCTTATATGTTTCGCTATCGCGTTCCAACATCTTCCAAGCTTTTTTTTCTTTTTCTTTTTTTAGCTGGAACCGATATCTATCCTTCTTCGCAACAATCCAGTCTGATAGCACATTCAACTCTGCAGTTACTTACCTATACACCTTTCCAAAATACGCTCCTAGGCCGCCGCCATGTTGCTGATGCTGATGCGGCTGGTGCGACTACCCTCTCGAGCCCTTTGTCAGCTAGAAATATTCTGCCACTCTCTTGGACTGTGGAAACCCGCTCAGCGCAATTCTCTACCTATGTTTTCCAGTTTTGCATCTGCCGTTTTCTGGCCGCTCTTGAAAGTTTCCACTTAATTTTTCTGATGCGTACTGCCTACCTTTTCTGTGTTATCTTCCACTGTGAAAAATAGGGCTGTTAAGTGCCTGCCATTCAAGATTTCCTGCTCGACATACACGGGAAGCGAAGGAGGGAGGGGCGTCGGACGGCCCTCGATAGAATGCGAACAACGACAATCCCCCCCCCCCCCTCCCCTACCCCCCAAGAGATAATCCACGTAGAGTCCTCAGTCATCTTCAAAAATAGTTGTCCGGGTTGGGGTGGGCATCGGGTCAGTCGCGTTCATTCCTTTGCCTTGGTGCTGTTCTGAAAAAAGGAAGCTCTCCGCAAAACGTGCCCCAAAGCGAAGTCATCTTGGATTCCGTCCGATCGTCAAAATGTGACTGTCTTGGTTTGTGACTGTGTTATATGAGATCCTCCTCAAATAATTTTTTTTTTTCAGATAACGCTGCATTGTGTGGTGTGTACAATATATTCTTCGAATGTTAACACTCGCTAAATTGTAATAACCGTGTCCTGTCCATCGATAAACACGTTATTTGTGAGCGTGAAAAATGCATGCCTTTCGGCTCTCTTCTGTGGTAAATCATTTTCCACAGCTAAGAGCTTTGTCGTTTGACACGCAGCTGATTTGGGAGCGCCGTCAAAACTGATCGTAAAAAAAACAACACGATAACTAACATTCTAGTCGCATTCGTTCTGTCGCGCGCGTACCCAACAAAAATTGTTTAAAGATTTTTCGTTGCTTTTTTTTAATGTGCTACAATGCTTTCTTAATGTCCTCGGGAACATACGTGCACTATGAAACACAAAATACAGCGGGAAAATACCAGAATTTAGCTACCAGCAGTGTTAGAACCTGCTCTATACGCAGGCTGCGCGGATCGAAATCACTGTCCACTCGGTTCGGGTCAGCAGGGACGCCGGTGACAGTCTAGCCTCAAACCTAGTGACTGAACTCGAAAACGGTTTGCTGTCCCCTAAGGTCCAGTGTTTTTTGGAAAGATTTATAGTACAGTGCTATATTTGAATGTTGGCTTTTCTCTTGCCTTTGTGGTCATGTTTGTATCCTAATTTTTTAACTGTATCCACTCTGATTTTTAAGGCCGTCGGCCCCAAGGATATTTAATAACTAAATTAATTAATTAATCAACGGGTGCAACAGGAGTAAAAGAACTTGCGCAGTGGCAACTTTTTAAAAAAAAGAATAAAACACAAGCCCACAAAAAATGAAGAGGACTGAACTTTGAAATCGCTCATAGAGGTTGACAATTACGCCAACCGCATTTCAGTTTTGCAAACGGCCCGGTGCCGTTGCCTTAGCAATAAGCAATCACGTGGCGCATTTAGCGCTGAAGGGTATGTAATTGGGCTAGTTGGTGATTCACTGCACATAATAAAACCGCTAAAAATTCAACGACGGACCGGTTAAAGGACGACCAACATCACGGAGCGTTGAAAGCGTTCTTTCCGCTTCCTCGAGCGCAGTGGCGCACTCAAGTGCGAAGGGCACGATGATAAAAACTGAGTAATGGCGTCACACTAGCGGGGCACCCGTGACATTCCCAGGTGTTACGAAAGGATGCCTAGAAACACTAATGTCTACGGGCAATTTATGTGATTTAAAACATAAAATTGAGGCATATTTCAGAAATAAACTTTGGTGTTCACTTAAACGTGTGCCTATTCAGAAAGAAAAGAAATAATGCTATCATTTGACTGCATTAGCCGTTTTACTTGCCAAATAATCCGCTCCGGTAGATAAAATATATAGTTAAACTGACATAAATTTGCATAAAATCTTGCAGACACTTTAGAGTTTTCAGTCTGACCCTTTCGAAGCATTTGTGTACATGCTATGCCTTCTTAGGCACCCAAAACAAACGTCCCTAATAGATTGTGTCAGACGATCTAGCTGGTGTTGTGGAATGTTTTAAAGAAAAGTGTTTCTAGCGCTCATCACTTCATTGACGACAGCCGCGCACATGACTGATGTGACGCCAATGTTTGGGAGTAAATTGCTGTAATCGCATGAATGAGGACAACATTAAGGTTTCTTCAAATCACAATTTACTTCTGCGAAGTTAAAAATGTGTTGGCACCTCTTTTTTAAACATGAGTTTTACGTCCAAACGAGAGCCATGCTTCAATCGATGCACTTGCTTCCTCGTTTTTTCAGGAATGTCACTTCATGCATATTCAGGTGGGGACGCTAGGAGCAACAGCCATATAAAGATTATAGAACCCCGTAAGTATTTACTTTAAGTGCGAATTTGTTTACTGGGTGACTGATATTTGTTTAGCTGAACTGGAAAAAAAAAAGAGAGCCGTTGAGTTGGAGTTTTCTCGGCTCGTGCTATAATAAGATGAAAACAAAATGTAACCCTGAAAAATAGGTGGTTGTCCCAAGCAGCACAGAGTTGGCCAATCATTGGCCAATGACGGGAACTCGTCCTTTAGCCAGTGGCCAGACAGTGGCCAGCCATTGGCCGATGACTGGTCTTTCTCTAGCCATTGGCCAATAGCCACTGGCCATCAGCCATCGGCCAAGCATTGGCCGGTGAATGGCCACTCTTTGGCCGTCGGCCAAAAGACCATCGCCAGCCTTTCGCCAGTGCTTCGCCAAAATACGCGCTGCTTGGGATGTTTGAAGGAAGAACACATTGAAGGTTTAATTACCAATAAAAATATTTAGGGGCATTAATGTAGATGTAAAAGAAACATGAAATCTAAAACATGGAGAAAAATTAATTGCGGAGGTTTCGTAGACCGCGTTTCCCCCTCCGCTAAGCGCTCCTCAACGATGAAACCGCTACTGTGCTTTGACCGTAAAGTTCAGGGTATCGTAGCGGGTTGCGGAAATCGTTGCGGGATGGCGCAAAGGATTTAGAAAACTCCCAATTGCTGTAGAAACTACGGATGTCTGAAAACATTGAGATTCGCCCGATGTCCCTCAGTTCTTAATACTCTTGTAACAAAAGCACACTTAACTGGAGTTACGCTGAGCCAAAGGACAGCATTCTGCGGCTATACAGTCAAAGCTACGGGCTCACGTGCGCTTCATCGAGCATCTTGAGTTCCTATATCAAAGTAGTGTACGCGCACTCTCACTTCTTCTAAGATAGCTATCCGGGAGTATAGTGCGGTAACTCTGTTGACGCGTAGAAATAGTTAAAGCTGAGTTAACTGCCGTTGAGGGTGCAAGTGTAACACCGGCATAAGTCGATTCTCAACACTATTCAGTGTGGTGTTGTGGGGTGGAAGGACAAGAAGAATATTATCGAACGTACTCAGTCACTGAGGGCCTTCCCCAACAAATTTATATTCCAACAACATGTGTCCTCTATCTCGCCTGGGCGCTTTGAAACATTGACCAGGAGCGCAGTCATCTTTTTTTCCGTTGAATGAAACCTTTTTATTTTTTACAAGTTATTCCGTACCCGTTTGGATTGGATACACTCTAAAAAAAAGAAAAGCCAGTGCGTCTACTTTCCCACCAACGCTCGGAGAACCAATCACCGCAAATTACGTAGGCAGCTGAACGAATGACGACGCCGAAACATATGTTTAGACAAAAAAACGCATCCTGAGTTGTGACTTTAAGCAAAGCAAGCGTGAGGTTTTTCGATGCTTAATGTCATAACTCAGACTGCGTTTTTTTTTTTTTTTTGTCTGAACATATGTTTCGGCATTGTCAATCGCTGAGCTGCCTCCTGAAGTTGCAGTGATTGGCTCTCCAAGTGTTGTGTGGAAAAGGAGACGCACAGGCTTTTTGTACAGCGTAAGAGTCATTGAGTCGATTAAGGCCCCATACCGAGCCACTGTGCCACACTCTAAAAAATGCCTGCCCGTCTACTTACCCGCGAAACATTCAAAGAGCCAATATCTGTGATCTACGAAATCAGCCCAGCGAATGATGAGGCGAAACATCCGTCTGGACCTAAAAACGAAATCTGCGTTGTGGCATTGCGCAATGCAAAGCGCCAAGCTTGCATGATGACAGTGCGCGATGCAAAGCGTCAAGCTTACATTGAGAAGTCACTGCGCATGATTACCCTGTGGCTGTTTGGACATTGTCCCACGCTCTCTCCTCAGCCGTGTTATAGGCTGAGAAGAGTGCCCCCTGGCGGCGCCCCCTCATTGGTCAAACTTGGGGCCTTGTGCATGTGAGTCATGAGGGAGCGTCTGCAGGGTTGACGTGCGTGGGCACCCAGCGTGCCCAGAGCCTTTTATTCACAAAAAGCAAAGAAATGGCCGTTGCCAACTTCCACGGCGATGCTCGGCCGTGTCCTCTGGTGACGGCGACCACAACAGCAGCGTTGTCGCACAGGATGATGGTGCTTGGCTGAGCGATGAGGGCTGCAATGGCCAAGGCTTGGGCCTCTCTGACGTAGATGTTGGAGCCCGGGAGGGTGATGATGGCCAAGTTACCCTGGGGGGTCGCAACACCTAGTCCGACGTTGCTGGTGTCGAGGCAAGCACCGATGTTCGTGTCGTAATGGTGCACGGGACCCTGCGGGGCAGGGATCTCCACACTCTCAAAGGCCAGTTTACTGCTGGGGGGTCCTTGGAGGGTCGGACCGGGGGGTGGGGTGGTCCCTATGATCGGGCAGCTTGTCTGCGGGTGTCAATTTCTGAGGCGTCGCCCTCGTTCTCTTCGTTGTCTTGTTGGGCTGGTCTACGCTCGTCCTCTTGACCGGGGATGGGCGGCTCGCGGTCCTCAAGGTAGCGCAAGATGCGCTCTGCTGCCACCTGGCGTGAATCGGGGGGCTCTGTGTCTTCGGTGGGCTGTGGCTGAGGCTGAACGGGGGCAGTGGGCTACATGGGGACACGCGATAGCCATGCCCTGAACAAGGATGTCGTCAGGTGACACCATGTCTTGTAGTAGCGCGAGCGTTGGTTGGCCCTGAACCAGGACCCATCGGGCCCTGGGTTCGGTCAGCACAAGAGTTAAGCTGCGAGGGATGGTTTCTTCAGCTTGAATAAACTGGGCTAACGGTTGGCACTCTGGAAGTGGTGCCGTTTGCTGCGGGGAGGGACCCGGCAAGAATAGTTCCTCTGGGGGAGGGGACTGCACGGGGGTTTGCAGCAGAGGGCGGCCTGGCGGTGGCCTGTCAGTAGCGGTCGTCGGCAGCGATACTGTCAAGGCACTGGGTTGGGTCATGACGCTACTGAATGGGGGCTCGGGTAGCTCCTGTCCGGGAGGATTTGGGGAACAACCTTTGGAATGTGCCTTCTATATCAATCGGCAGTCTTTGACGGACTATATCAATCGGCAGTCTCGGCGTCGCCAAGGCACTAGAGTGCCTTGGCGATGCCGAGGTGAAGAGGAGTGACTCACTTGTCATCTTTGCGGGGTGCACTCTTTTTGGGATGTCCTTGCGACTTGGCCTTCCGGGGTTCCGACGAGGTCGGGTGGGGCTGGCTGCCCGGGAGGGTTGATCGGTTCCTCTTGCCGGCGGTCCAAGGAGATAGCTCGCTGAGGGGTCCACATACCCGTCAAGGGGGGCATTCCACCCTGAGGTGGTGACGTGGTATACGACAAGCGTACCCGATCGAAGACTCGGAGTTTGAACTGGGCAGTGAGCGGTGGATAAATCTCCCAGACCTCCAGGTAGGGCTCCAAAAGTTGCAGTTGAATGATGTCCCGTTTGAACAGGAGCTGTGAGCTTCTGTTGGCGTTTTGTACGTGTATAAACGCCTCTCCGAAGTCCCAGCGGGTAAAGGGATCCTGGACGGTGAAGATCCGCTGTCTTGGGCCTGTGAAGGCCTGGGCGGTGTGATCCACTGGAGTCGGGGGGGGGGGGGGTAGGGGTGGCGGAGCGTAGCCGCCTGGGCCGCTGGTGCGGCGTCGTAGCCGTCGAGGGTGGACTGTAGGGTGTACCCGCTGGTGGTTGTTGTTCAGGGGCCAAGGTAGGGTACATGGAGCTTGGGACGTGCTGCTGCAGGGCGGCATGCGCTGCTCCGGTGGAGCAGCGCATGCCGCCCCGCAGCAACTGTTCCCCAGCAAGTCCCCCAGCAACTGTTCTGGGGAACAGTTGCTGGAGGGCTTGGACCAGGCCCTTCGGGATGCTGGTCCGCTCTTGGCGTAGAACCTCAAACATGTGGTTACGATCTTCTTGCAGAGCAGCTCTGAGAGAGCGGTTATGATCAGCGATCGCCTCGCCGATAAGTGTTGGAAGATCATCGTCTTCAGTGTCAAGTGAATGGGTAGCCGCGGCGGGGGTCGTCTTTGGAGGCATAGAAGGTTGGCGTCACTTGCGCGCGGAAAAAAAGGTCTACCAGCCTGCTCCGATGATGCGCTGTGTCTTTATAACGCGCTGTGACTAAGCAGGTGTTCCGCCTCATCATTTGCTGTGAGGTCAAAGCAGATGTTTTGCCTCATCATTTGCTGAGCTGATTTCGTAGATCACAGAAATTGGCTCTTCAAGTGTTTTGCGGGTAAGTAGACTCGCACTCATTTCTAAGAGAGTAGCCTTCCGGAATCACCAAATTCTCCGTTATGTTTTTTTTTTCGCTGAGTTGACGATCCAGTTATCCTTTCCGATTGATAATTAATATTTGTGGAACGATAACGAAAATATTGGAGGAATATTTAATAAATGTATCGCGCGTAAACAATGATGCAACTATTTTATAACCGAGGGTATAAGCTAGACAAAATGAAATACAGACCTATGACAAGAAATCTTTCCGTGACTTAATATTTACATAAACACAATTCACATATCTAAATATCATTGAAATAGTTTTAATCGCATGACCTCAAAATCGGGTTTCGTTCCTCGCAGTAGCAACCGATCGGGATTTAACCGATTGCCCTTTTTTATTCGTTTATGATGACGTCACAAAGTTCAAAATTTTGAGAACCTACTGTTTCCAGTATATAGACACAGATACCAATACCTGATAGAATACCAAGACATTTTATAAACACAAAACCTGCAATGATTGCATTGATTAAAATGCCAACTGAACGCACAAGGCCTCGTATAAGAAAAAAACCTACAATTCCGAGCGTTTAACATTCTGTTAATCTCTTGGTTCGATTTCTTTATATTATTTTCGCTCGTACACTACATTGTTCTTTAGCGAAGCACTATACAAGAGCGCTTTGCTCATAAAAAAGGACAAGTTATTATTACAAAACGCAGAAATAGTTAACTGCCATTTTCTAAACGGTAGTATTTAGCTGCTATTTTGAGCTTGAAATAATCTTTAAAGAGGGAGATCGAGAAAATGAAACTGGGGCTACGGCCGTGAAAATTAAACTAAACATCACAGAAAGCTGACGCTTTCTGCAAATGTAACGCTAGCGGTGTTAATAAAAGCCTAAAACTTGAGCACTGGACATTGTCGGGATGAAAAGATAGAAACAAAAAAGAAAACTTTTTTATTTGGCTGTATTCGCTTAAGCCTAATATTTATCAAAGTGAAATTTAAGATTTTAAGCAAGTGTAGCAATTATGTCGGTGAAAAACCCTTGTCAGCAAGAAGCAAAACAATATTGTATTTTTTACTGACAAAATTTTTTCACCCGAAGGAAATCCTACGGGCGCTCACAATCTCAAATTTTAGTGTGACGCAAATTACACTTAAATAAACATCTGCCAATAAAAAAAAATGCGTGTCTTTTTTTTCGTATTTCTGTATCCCTCTAAGGTCACGTGCTCAACATTTTACATTTTATTACCACCACTAGCATCACTTTCTTGCAGGGTTTCAGCACTCTGCAATACGTGGGTTATTTATGCGGTACGAAACACCGGGTTTTATTTTATCGATTTCACCCTGAATTATACTCATAACCAAAAGCTTTTAAAAAGTAAGAAGCAAGCATGAAATAAAATTAAAAAATTGTCATAATAAGAGTCGAAATTGTTTTTGCCATCCAGATTTTCTTATCCAAATATTGTGAATAGAAGGAAATTTTGTATGTGTAAGGTCGTTTAAAAGAGCAAAATGACTTCAATTCACAGTCACTTGGTTTTGTATTTTCTGCTACACCCTCTTCTGCTTTCCAGGTGAAATATCTGTTAAAGGTTCAGCTCATCTTCAACTTTACTTTTTCTTTGATAAAGCACACAAGGAACGTGTAGAAGGGGAGACTAAATATTTAAAAGGGTTTGTGGAAGAGGTAAGTAGATCTGAATTACGTTAAACAAAGAAAGGCAAAACTATCCTTCTAATAATGCTGCGACTTGGTCGCTGATGTGTTAGTTCACCGGCTTGACTGCGTTTTTTTTTCACTTTCTTCGTTAATATTTTGGTGACTAAAATATCGCTATTTTTGTGAATAATGCGATGAAGAATTAAATATTAAAATATATAATTCTAAAATTTATTCGTCGAGCTATTTTCAGTCATAAAGATTTATTCCTAAAAATATTATAAAAAGAATCATTTATAAATCACGCAGAATAAAAGTGTGACTTTAAAACTCTATCTGTTACACTCCTGTGAGTTTTCGCAAGGCTCAAAACCTAACAAGATAAGCGAGGGTATCAAAATATTTGGTTGAAAATTTAGGCACTTGATACAAGAATAATGACAAAACTGTGGCCCAAGTATTCCCGGAAGCACAATCAGTTGGCGATATCCTTCTTCCTTATGGCGCAATGTTGAGGATAATTCGGATATTGTTCTTGGTCGCTCTTTCAGACGCCACCATTTTACAGTGAGTCCTGCAGCATTTTGAGACATTTACGAAACTACTGTGAGAGCGCATTTGAAAATAAAGTGTTTTCGAATTAGGGGGCCCCAATGCTAGAGGGTTTCTAAGTCATAGCGGCGAACCAGTGCTGCGATACTCGCGCTGGGTTTTCAATGCGTCGCATGACCGGCTTGCATTTCTCGCTTGCAGCGGAAATATGGCTAACAAGCGAAATAAGTATAGATGAAAATATTAAAACGTCTGACATTGGCGTTTAAAAACACTTTATGTTGCTCGTGTCAAAAATATTGGACAAGGTACAACTAAACTTATCCGTTTTTACAAATAACGAAACGCCTCACTTTCTGAAGTGAAGACCAAATCGATGCGATTCATACACCATATAGGGCATCCTCGGCATTTGAGTTTTACGAAAATCGTTTTTAGGTCTCTTTTGTAACTCGGTTCTTGTGCAAATTTTGCGTTATTTTGCTCAACCTTGCCTCAATAAACCGATTTCACAAAGCGTTTCACGCATGCGTGATGCAGCCATAACTATAGTTGGGAGCAGAGCCACTTGCGCTTCACAGTAACGAGATTTCAGGCATTTAGGTGGTTAAAATCATGATTGCCACTTTTCTGAAGCTTTATCTGAAAGCTCAGGAACCGTTTTTCCGTCCTCCAGATATGTTAGAACAGTTCGCGACAGAGCAAACGGTATCGACTAGGCTTCCTACCACCGTGTCAAAAGCTGAGGAAGTCTCATTTTTGAATTGCGACGATCCAGAGTGCGCCTACTTTGCTCAAATCACCAAGATGGCGGCGCCCACTAGCGGATCGGGGAACGGTGTGTCAATATTCTAAGCGTAGCTCTTTAAATCAATCTCACTAACCGCTCATTCACACTGGAAGCGGATCCGCGTTCGCAAAGCGGTTGCGAACGCGGTTGTATAAAGATCCAGTACAATTGCACGCGCACTCAATGACATCAAATGTGCGTGCAATTGTACTGAGTCTTTATACAATCGCGTTCCCAACCGCTTTGCGAACGCGGATCCGCTTGCAGTGTGAATGAGCGGTAAGCGTTGGGCGCATGCGTGACACCGCCATAACGTTAGTTCACAGAAACATGACGGCCGTGCACGCCACGCCAGGGCCACCGTGGCCAGGGCTCGTACCGTCTCGTGCTCCACACGCGCAGAGCTCTAGCGTGGTTATCGCACGTGCAGAGAGACTATTTCCCTCGACGCTTTGCGCCAGAGGTGGCGTAGTTAAACTGTCTGGTGATACGGTGAAGACACCCATTGTTGTATTGAAAACTGCCTGCGCGTGCCGAATGGGACTTAAAATGGCGCCAAAGCACCGGGCAGGGCTAAGCGCTCGCTCTGAACAAGATCGAAGCGCGTGCATTCTGGGCATAGAATTGGCCGAGGTGCCGCCACCCTAAGACAAACTTGGCGAAAGTGTATAAAGGCACCCTAGTCTGGTGAGATCGATCTTTTTTGGCTCTAGTTCACAGGAGGCAAAAGCCAGTTCACCAGACAGCCCGTGCCGTTGCCTGCTCCACTCACGCAATCCAACAGTGGGGTTCTCGCGCGTACAGAAAGACTATTCCCACGATGCATGCCGGCAAATTGTGATGCAACGAAACTGGCTCGTGAGATTATCGTATTCCTGTCATGCGCAGGAGTTGCGCAGGAGTTGCGGTGACGTCAAAATGACACAGAGCTCCGCATTGCTCTGTTTGATAAATAGTGGGTAGACCTCAATGCTAGGCGCCTCGAGATCTACCCACTATTCTCTTTCGATCAGCCAATAAGAACTCGGCGTTCTGACACAACGCAACCCCTGTACTAGAAGCAGACGAACTTGCACTCCGCATAGGGATCAAGTCGGGTTGCTCTCAGAAGTAAGTAATTGTAAAGTGATTGCATTACCTTTGAAAAGTAATTTGCAATTGAAATAATTACTTTTAACATACTAGTTATTGTAATTGCAGTTAAACTACTTTTGAAGCAAGGTAATTTTAATTATAATTAAATTATATTTGGAAGTAATATACCCATATATGATTCTAGTACATGGTAGTAACATCGGTCTATTAAAGGGGCGTGGAAACAAAATTTTCGCACCTATTTAATCGTGTAGATGTGGTCTATGTTCTGAAGTGATGTGTAAAGTGAAGAGCCTGGGGTGGTCTCTGAAGCTTCGATGGAATGGCGCCACGTCGTGAGCTCCTAAAAACAGCGCCGGTTCGCAGGGGTATGGCAAGCTTGTAGAGTTACTTAGTCCTGAATGTGACTTGGCGGAGGACGCTGACGCGTTTACTACGGTTGATATGCTAAAGCTTCCACTGTGCTTCCACAACGTGATTTTCACACCATCAAGATCACCGTTCTTTAGAGAGGTTAGGTATAGGAGCTTGTTCTGCTTATGCGGGGACCTCTGCCAGGCCGACCTAGGGGGCCTCAAAGTCCTTCTGCTTAGGGTGATACCATCCTTTGTAGTAGCCGATGCGAACAACACGCTCTCACAGGGGAAATACGAAGAAATTGTCGAAAGCAAAATGCCGCTGTAACTCAAGCCGCACCAAATGCTGGTGCAGGGAAACACTCCTTCACGCACTTCTGAACAAAAAATAAAAATAAGCGTTCGGAACACCGCTCACAGCACGGTGAGCGCTGGCCGCTCACCGTACTGTGAGCGGCCAGCGCGGGAGCTGCCGCTCCGCCGCGGCGAAAAATTTCCAACCTGGGACCCCAAACTCGTCAAACACAAAGTTGGTGCCGAAAGCTCGCGGAGCGCGCCGATATGACGTCGGCGACAAAAACACGAAGTCATCGTCGTGATTGTCTAATCGGTGCATTCCGTCAACTTCGGCCCAACTTTGTGTTTGACGAGTTTAAGGTTCCTGGTGGAACCGAGCTGCTCAGTCGTTGCGGCTGGCCAGAGCGCCACGACGGCAGAAATCACGCCGCTCTAGGGCCAAAATCGCTGCATGTGAAACTCGCTTAACATGGAGAACTGGACGCTCGTGGCGCACAAAAATACCGGCATTGCCATGAATGACATTAAGCCGGGGGTCACACAGTTAAATAATTGGGGTTGTGGGGATTTTATACAGCGTGTAGTTGGTCAGCCGCTTCAAAGTTGCGACGAGTCACTCGCTGTAGATGAGCAATTTAGCCAGTGCAGTGCAAACCGCTAGCCCGGGGTCTTTAACGTGCACCACGCAGTAGTGGTACACGACCGCACGCCGGTACGATGCTCATCCAGATCGAAACGGGCAGGGGTGGGGGGATGGAACCCAGGATCTCTGGGTTCTGCAGCGCGAGCTTTCGCTCCACGTGCTCCGAGCTGGTGTGCGCTAGCCCGCTCGGCCACCGACCCCCTGGGTTAATTACGGATTTGCGTCTTCAAGATGGCCGATAGATTAAAAAAACAGTAAAAATAAAGTTTTTTTTAAATTTTGAGCAGGCTACTTTGTTTTTTTTTAGAAAGTGTCTTGCTTGTTTTGAAAATACATTTAAAACTAAAATACTCTACTGCGTCTCATCACCTCTCGACAATTTTTCTTCCAGATGAACTATATATTTGAGACTCGGAGAGATATACTCCATGTAACGTTCACTTTTCTAAAGGCCAGCCTGTGGAATGTAAGTTTTCTCTGCGTGTGGATATCTTCTTCATTTATAGTATCTAATTTCTCCAGCCCGGCAAGGAAGCTCAGATTGGCGAAGGAAGTCTCGATGCTGAAGTGCTAAAAAGGCTGCTGAGGAAACATACGACCATAGTGGAGACGAAATGGAATAAAACGCACCCTTATCAACCCATTAGTGCCGTTATCTTTATAACCACGTGAGTTTCTCGATTTTTTTAAAACTTGTCTTAAAAGGCAAGCTTATGAGCTGATACCATATTATCGTCTCAACGGAAATACCCTATTGAAAATACGTCTATGGGGCCCAACAAGATTTCTGAAATGTTCTGACGTACCCATCAAAAATGTTTGACGTGTTTGAGATGTCTGTCAAAGTTTTCTAATACCCTTGTTACACGGGCACACTTAACTGCGGTTACGCTAAACCACAATTAGCGCACAATACTTGCCGACAACATTCTGCGGCGATGCAGTCAGAGCTATGGGCGAACGTGCGCTTGAGCATCTTGAACACCCATCAAAGCAGTGCACGCGCTCTCTTCACTTCTTTTGAAATAGCTGTCCGAGGGTATAGTGCGGCATCTGTGCTGCCACGTAACCGCAGTTGAAGCTGAGTTAACCGCGGTTAATACCGCTGTTACACGGGCACACTTAACCGCGGTTAACTCAGCTTTAACTGCGGTTACGTGGCAGCACAGATGCCGCACTATACCCTCGGAGAGCTATTTCAAAAAAAGTGATGAGAGCGCGTGCACTGCTTTGATGGGTGCTCAAGATGCTGCCGCGCACGTTCGCCCATAGCTCTGACTGCATCGCCGCAGAATGTTGTCGGCAAGTATTGTGCGCTAACTGTGGCTTAGCGTAACCGCAGTCAAGTGTGCCCGTGTAACAAGGTTATAAGTGTGCCCGTGTAATACCGCTGTTATACCCTTGTTACACAGGCACACTTAACTGCAGTTACGCTAAACCACAATTAGCGCACAATACTTGCCGACAACATTCTGCGGCGATGCAGTCAGAGCTATGGGCGAACGTGCGCTTGAGCATCTTGAGCACCCATCAAAGCAGTGCACGCGCTCTCTTCACTTCTTTTGAAATAGCTGTCCGAAGGTATAGTGCGGCATCTGTGCTGCCACGTAACCGCAGTTAAAGCTGAGTTAACCGCGGTTAAGTGTGCCCGTGTAACAGCGGTATTACACGGGCACACTTAACCGCGGTTAACTCAGCTTTAACTGCGGTTACGTGGCAGCACAGATGTCGCACTATGCCCTCAAACAGCTATTTCAAAAGAAGTGAAGAGAGCGCGTGCACTGCTTTGGTGTGTGCTCAAGATGCTCAAGCGCACGTTCGCCCATAGCTCTGACTGCATCGCCGCAGAATGTTGTCGGCAAGTATTGTGCGCTAATTGTGGTTTCGCGTAACTGCAGTTAAGTGTGCCCGTGTAACAAGGGTATAACAGGGGTATTAGGCACTGATCTCTACTATAAGGGGCTGGATGGCGCTTAGCTGCTCTCCGAGCCTGGCGCAAGTGAAGCCACCGGAAGTTCGATGCTTGTCCCGGAAGTCGGGCGTGCGCTGGGCTTCCTGGTGCATTCAGTCGATATTTTGGACCATGCTTTTTTGTGTATTTGATTAGGTATTAATAGTCTCGTTCTGGATTAAATCCCGAAAATGAGACATTTGAACTTGGGACATATTCACAACTTGATCAAATAGAATCTAAAAATGTTTACATTGAATGGCTTCCCATGATACTTCTCGGGTTCGGGTGCACTCTTACTGCGCAACAAGCAGGCTCTCTTGAGGGAACAAGCGAAAATCCAGCGCCTTCAACGCTTTTCGAACCATTACTCGTAAGGGTTACAAAGCCTGCCAAGCGCTCACTTCCGGGACAAGCCGCTCACTTCCGGTGGCTTCATACCTGTTTGCTCAATGCAGAGCCGTTTATACTGAGAGAGTTTGGCCGATGGGCGGAGCTTGTTGGCCGCTAGAACAAGCGGATTTCGCGATAACACAATATGGCGTTACTTCTTTGTCTTGTTCATTCCTGTGAAATCGCGTAGAGTTCCTATGAGTCAGATCCACAATATGGCGGACGGAAGTAGTCATCCCCCGGTTGTCAGACTACGCTGCTGTGGTTGTCAGACTGTCAAAATCTCCTTAAGAAGGCCAAACTCTCTCAGTATAAACGGCTCTGGCTCAATGCGCCATCCAGCCCCCTCTAGTTGAGATCAGTGGTATTAAGGGCCTGATGTACCCTTTCAGAATTCCTAAAATGTTTAAGAGACGCGCATAGCTTTTTGAGAGGCTTGTGGGGTCTGTCCCAATCCTCCCCATGGAACCACATCACCCATCAAAATAATTTTAACCGATCTGTAGTAGAGATCACGTAACCCTTCAGGATATATCCGTCGGGGAAGCCGCTTGGCCATTTTTGGATCGTGCGGGCTTTCGGGTTAGGAAATTGAGGGGATCACCCGTGTCTATCTTGTTGTGGCCTTCGCGGCTCCATTGCACTGTCTGTGTGTTCCATGTATCTTTTTCACGGGCTCGACTAGGTACGGTCAAGGACGCGTCCCCACGTACCCTTTTTCGACACTCAAGAGGAAGAGAGAGAAAACGGGAGGGGGCTTTTTGCTGTTTCTTTGAAGAAAACCCAGTTTTAGTCAGTGCAAATACAGCCATCGTCAGAAGCTTCTCATCCTGTTTTCTCTCCGTCAACGAGCGCAAACTAAATGCACCACAACGAACGGTCACTCAGTGTCGCCTTCCCGTCCCATGCGTGTAATCTATCTTCTATAGCAGCTGGGTGTGCAGATCAAGAAGGCACCTCAGTGCCCTGTTTCTTCCGCCTCTTTTTCCGTCCGGCTGCCGAGGCATCTAGTGAGCGAAAAAGACGCCGGAGGCGACACTGTGGCTATGCTCAGAATTTCTCGACGGCGGTGGATGTTAGTTGCGCGTTCGTGGTTTTGTCTAAACGTGCTAGTGACAGTGTGCATGTGTCAGTGTGGTACACCTGCTCAATTTTATTAGTTGAACTAATGCGCACCCCAAAAATTTACCCAGAGGCATTGTGAAAACCTTGAAAGATATTTTAGCGACAAAGAACCTGGTTGTCTCTATGTGGTATGATCGCTTTCGTCTACAGCTGCTTGTGCCCGGGTTTGAGAAAATGTTGGTTCTTATGGTATTTTTGAGTTATAAAATGCACTTAAACATCAATGTCAGAAATAAATTTCCAATAACGTGTTTAAATGCATTTTTGTCTATGGTTCAAAACCATTTGTATGTGTAAAGATCTGACAGGCTGAAGGGGTTCGGAGTTATGACTGGCTGAAGATGTTTGTAGTACTGATGGGTTTGATGGGCTGAGGGTATTTGAAGCACTGAGAGAGTCCCATAACACATCAAGGCTGAGGTGTTATTTTCAAATGGGAGGAAACTTAATTTTTTCTCTTCATGTTGCATAAAAAGCACGAAGCAGCACACAAATCGAATCCTTGCTTTAACTTAAACGTAAGCGTGAATACCAAGTTGAGAACATTTCAGCTTTTAAGAAAATGTAGACTGTGTGCTCTAGTGCTTTGAAACTAACTTAGATATTCCGGAAAAATCGGTGTCTCAACATATTGCACCATGAATTTTGTAAAGGCGCGTCTAGGTGGTAGAAGCTTGGGGTGAAAATATTGGTAGGATGTTAAAGGGTGGCCTATTGAAGAAATAATAAATTATGCAATATATGGCAGTGATGGTATAGACTTCGTTAAACGTTACCCCCTCTTGCAATCGATCTGAAAATACTGCAAAGTGACGTGTGCAAAAAACACCATCAAATGGCAAGTCTATTAATTGAAGGAGTCTCTTGGAAGTGTGTACTATGTCAGTTATAGACTTGTCAGCTTGTTGATGTTTTTTGCGCATGCCTCTTTGCAATATTTTTAGATTTATTTTAAAAGGGGTAATTTTTGAAGGAGTTTCTAGCATTCAAAACAAATTCATGCTCCTTAGCGTTGCTACTTAATCCGTACAATATCGCCCCGGTGTTGCAAAAACACTATAAATATTGCATTCTTGAAAGGAGGGGTTTGTATATATATATATACCATTTCTAAAGGAACATTTGGAACGGTACTGTCCACTATGTTCCTTTAGAAACGGAGCAGCGGTCGTCCGCATAAACGGAGGAGAAAGTTCCTCCCTCTTCTGAGTAGCAATATGGCGGTTTTGAATCGAGTGAATCGAGCTCAGTAAGGCTTAACCAGGATGCCAGAATGCTATGGATATCATCGGTCTTTACTCCGAACGCTGCCTCGATTCAACCGATAACAACTAGTATAGTTTTCAGAAAGGCAAATACCTCGCACCACTGGCAGCCATCCGACACTGCTCAGCAGCTATCGCAAGAAAGGCAGTAAATTCCTTCGCACACATCCAAGCAAGTCTCTGCTTTCGGAGGAAAGCTGTAGCATATGAAAACATAGCACGAGCTTTTCACGGACTGTGTTTATTGTCGAAGCTGCCTTCTCGCATAGACAAATAAATCCATTTTAAGCACAGTCACCCAGACTTCTCGTTTTCAATGCTGCCATGTTCGACGTAGACAGTCGAAACCCAGCCCTCGCGGGCACGTCGTGTCTTAACTTTTTGCGATTCCCTACGACACATTTATTTTGTTAGCACCGCACGCCAGAGAAGACTGGTAAATCATTCGCGAAACCAAAAGTCGTTCTCAAAAAAGCTGATTCAAGGCAGCCTACTTGGCACATTGCACGGCCCAAAAATTATCATGATGCGTAAAAAGAAGGTCTAATCTCTAGCCACGAGGTGGGAGGCACAGGCAGAGTAATTCCGAACGTCTAGTCTAGGTGGCGCTCGGCTTAGACGATTGCGACTTACATCTTTATGAAGGCGAAAGCTTTATATGTCTCATAATTCAGTCGACCTTCAGAAAACGAGTCTGCGACACGAAAGCTACCAAAACGAAAGGTACCAATGAAACAGCGTCAAAAGTGCGTCGTCAGAGAGCGCGCTATCTTCGAAGGTTCGCTACCACCGGGACCACAGAAGACCCACATATCCGAGTGAGCCAATGAAACGGCGCCAAGCGTGTGTTGTCAGAAAGCGCGAAGTCTTCGGAGATTCTGTATCACGTTCACGTGACAAGTCAGGTGAATTAGAGGAAATCAAATTAAGAAGA